TAGATCAATTACAGAAGATGCCAATAAAACGAAAGCGTCTGCAAACATCAACCTGTTCGTCTTCACATCTCCTACGCAGATGCACTATCATCTTGGCTGCTTATGACTGTTCTATCAACACTCTTTTTTGACCATCATTTTGTTCGTTTTGTTTGTTTTAATAGCTATTTGAGCGAGGTAGATCACCATGGGTAAAAGGATTAGACTGAACAGTTTCCTCGTCCTCATGGACAACTTGTGTCGAGTGACAATGTTTTAATGCGATTAAAACTGATCAATGTCGTTTTAGTTCTTCTGTTGATTTCCCTGTCTAGATAGTTCATTGATTCCACCTGGCAGTCGATTCCATCTGCTTCTTTTGAGTTCCGTGCAATTTGCGTAAACCGAGCACTTGGGAAGATGTTGATTTTGCGTTCATTTCGTTTTTGAGACGACAATGTTCTATCGAACGGTAAGAGATTCACGTTGATACTCCTGGATCTTCTGTTGGAGCTCTTTGTGCCTTGCGTTACATACTCTCCATCGATATGCCATTCTACCATGCTCTTGTATCAATTTAGTTAGTTGAAGAGAGTGATTTTGAGGCTGTGCAAAGGGTCGCTGGTGAAATGGTATTTCCTTGGCACATTTTTCTGTGGACACTGATGCGAATGATTCGCTGAAAAGCTTGATGTCAGTCGTAGAAAAGGAGTTCGATTTTTCGATCGGGCGAATGTAAACAGGTCTATATCATGTTCCTGTAGTCGATGAGAACAAAGTAAAGTAAAGTGGCGCTTAATACTCATTCCACTCCGTCAGACGCAGCATGACGAGTATATGATCGATGGCAGACAACTTCATAAAGAAACAGGCTTGTTTTCGATTTGTGACTAGTTCCGAGTCCTTCGAGATGTATTTGAGAATTATCTGAGTAAAGAATTGGTGAATTCGGGGCAGGAGTGCAATTAATCGGTAGTTTTTGTGGTCGACTCCTTTTTCATCGTGAGGAAAATCGTTCTTGATGTCGTACACACTTTAGGCGTCTTGCTTTTTCTAGTGTGTTCCGTAAAAAGTTTTGCAAGCACTTTTAAGCAGATTGTTCTTCAAGCTTGAGGCTGTTCCGGTCTTATGCCGTCGTTTGCTTGGACATTTACCATTTTTGACGTTTTAGATTTCCAACTCAACTTCGCCCCGGACTGGATGACGTTGGGAACTCATCCTTCCTCGTTTAGTGCACTTGGAACCGTCCGCTGTTTTTGGTGAATATTCTCTTCCTTCAGTTGAAGAATGTCGAGTATACAGTCGACTGAGAGTCCTGGGTTCGATCTTTGGTCAAGGTCATTAGGTTTTTTTTCCTTCCGAGGTTGATAATTCAGAGGCACTTTGATAAATAAGTTGGAAGGAAACACGAGAGTACAAACTACTCGAGTCACATTTCTGATATCGACTCTGCCTTTAAAACCAAGGCATCCTTAATCTTCTTCGATTTCGTGATATAGTCGTCTGTAAATGCCCGTATCGATTGTATTTTGCACCATGGTGGCCAGAAATGGCTGGATATCATTCTGGTTCCATTCACCATTCGTATTCTGTAGTATTGTTCAGACAGATGCGGGAGACTGCACCTCCATCACCAGTGTCGGCTTATCTGTGAACGTTTTTAGCTAGCAAATGTGTGGCGTTTATTTTTGAGTTCAAACCTTTGTGAACTATTGCAAACTTCTATATATAAAGATGTACCGTCCTATGTTCTATGTTCTTCATCGTTCTTACAGGGTTTATAAGGAATGTTCATTTTTCAAGTATATCATATGCATAGCTTTTCTGAGAAAATAAATACGGCATTGCGATTCTGATTCTTCGTTCATTGATCATTAAACTGCACATTGCTCGCCGAATCGTGGCTGAGATAAAAAACAGATTTTTGCAGTTCGTTGCAAATTCATCTCACTATATACAGAGTGGAATTATCATACAAAATTCCGATATTATCGCTGTTGTTAAAGTTGATTG